CAAATTGGTGCCTTCATAATTCATGTAGAGTAGACCCATAATAGCTCTATTTTCTCTTCAATTTTGGAAAATAAGAGATGCCATTAGTTTAAATTAGGCTTGTACATGGAATAATCAAGTGTATCCACGAATGACTCAGATGCATTTTAAGAATAAGAGTAAATGCCAGAAAGGATGGAGTCTTTCTGTAAAAGATTAAATGTACAATTTGTATTGACAAGCTAGGGGAAAAACATGTTGGAGAGTTGATAGACAACACATGAATTTATAAAACTCAGTTTTGAAAACTCAAAATATAAGAAGTGGGTAATCATTGCACTTTGACTACTGCTTTATAGAGTAAGTCTTAGAATAGAAAGAAAATGCTATTTGGGACCTGGGTGTGTTTGCAGAATGTACGGGCACGCAGGACGGTTGGTGACTGTGTGGATATGATGTGGAGGTGTTTATTTTCATATCAAAAAGTGCCCCAGGTATAATGTAGAAGGTGCTTCTCATTGTTGGCTGGAGAAGTTTCCAATGTCCAGATGGAAAGAATTACGGTTAATTAAAGAAAGCGTTCATTTCTTTGTTTCCACCAAGAAGTTGAACCCCCCCGAGGAAGCTGACTGCGGGAAGTAGTTTATCTCTTTCTAGCGTCAGGAAATGAAAGCATGGAAAACAGAATCGGATTCCTCCGAACGCCCCTGGTGCCAGGCATGCACGGGGCCCCTGCTCAGTGTCTGTTCCCAGGCATCATTCAGTAATTTGGTCACATATTTTTCTCTGACATCTGATTTTGCTTTCCACTCGAGGGTGGCATAAAGGAAAGCTTTCTGAACACTTAAGGTCTTGATCTAAACCCTCAAAAGAGAAAAAGTTCATAAGTGATATAATTGAAGTTGAGGAAGAATTTTACCTTAGAAATATTTTTGTATCTTCAGAGTGAGTAAAAATGTATCTTTAGTCTCCACAGTAGCTTTTATTCCAGTCTATTAGTAAACTTTGGCAAGGCATCAGTAAGAGAGGTTTGATATGGTTATATCTTCTGTATAATTATAGATAGAGATATAGTATATAATATGTATTCACAGGTATGTTATATTGTTGGTTTTTGTGTTCATGGTGGTTTGCGTCTTTAAAAAAAAAAGTCTGAACTGGATTTACCTCCATCAGTGGTTGGCTCTGCAGAGCACGGGGATACAGCACCAGTCATGCAGAAAGCACCTGTTTGTCATCGTTAGAGTTCAGACATGAACTGGAACCAATGGCCCATTAAATACCTTCCCTTGTTGTTTAAAGCATATTCTAACTTTGCGAAATAATTGTTAATGTGGAATATTGTACCTGGGCCAAGGAATGCAATTCCTGTAACTCCAGACAGAGTGAAGGCTGAAACAGAAAAGTTGTGTTCCATTGTTTTGTGATTCTGTGCTATTGGAAAAAATCTCGTCTTGAGTGTAATTAGGAATAGGGAAGTCAAAAAAAAAACAAAACAGCACACTTTGCTTTTTGGCGTGTGTGTGTATGTGTGTGTGTGTGTGTGTGTGTGTGTGTGTGATTTTCCATTGAGTATTATTGTAGTACTTTCTGAGTGATAAAATTATTGTTTTAAAAGGTTGCTTGCTGAAATAGTCACAAATGCTTTCTACAAAAGAAAGCATTTCACTTTTCTGGCTGTAAAAAAAAATGATAGCGATTTTTTTCCATATACTATATTTAAGGAAGGAGAAGACATCCTTGTAATATTGATGCAAGTGGACAACATTCACACAGTAGGTTAAAAGTCCCATTGTGAGAGATAATTCACTATGAGATACAGTGATTGTTAATTTCCTCTTTAAAAGACAGAGCTAAATTTTCACTTAGAAGGTATTTCTGTAAAAATTTCAGAAGTAGATTTAGAAACCAATTAAGGAGGATTTTTGTCTTCAGGCTTTGTGTGCCTGATGTGAGCTGGTGATAAATGTTCTAAATTCTTTTTTCTTTTTTCTTCTGGATTTTACTTCTTCCATATCGTATTCATAAGTGCTTTGTGTGGGGGAACATTTTCAGCAAATGTTCGCTTTCTTTTTCCTTTTTGTTTTCTACTCTAAGATTCAGATAATTTTGCAAATGTTTACTTGTCTTAAAAGTCCAAGTCTAGCAAAAATTACTATTGTTAATGAGTATGGTTATAAGTAACTTTAACCACTGTTCACTAGAGAGGTTATTCAAATGTAATGTTACTGTACTGATTATCCTAAAAGAGAAACTCTTGGGGTGAAGTAGGGTTTGAAAGCGAGGGTATTTGTGGTTTTTGGGACTTGGGCAAGAATTTTGGAGGGAGTGGGCTTATATGAATGCAGATGGGCAGGAGACATTTTGAAAAGACTAATAAACAAACTCAAAAAAGCTTTGAACCTCTGAGTATTTGTATTAAGTACAGTGAGGTCATAGTTAATAAAATCCCCAATATTAAAAAATTATAATTGTACATGTAAACCATCCTTTTAGCAAATACCTTTACTTGCTAAATTTCTTACTGAAAGATTTTGACTAAGTGGGAGTGTTTCAAGCTGTCATTTGGGACAGAACCTTAACCCCCTTCCACTTCGCATCTACCTCAGAGAATGCCAGGGGCTGGAGGTGCTTTTTTTCTTTCTATTGCATGGGGAGGTAATCAGGTTTATGTTTCTTTTTTTTTTTTTCATGGAAGTTCTGGGGATTGAACCCAGGACCTCACGCATGCTATACCCTCCCCCCACCCCGGAGATGCTTCTCTATAGCACGTAACAGCAAGAAAGTCATTGCAAGAAGAACTAATGTTAAATGAGCACTTATTCCATGCCAGCCACTGTTACCAGCATTCTAGATAAACCTCACTTGCCTTCGCTCTCTGTCTCTGAGGTAGGGGCTATGATCGCCATTTTATATGTTTATAAGTAAATGTATATCATTTTAAATAAATCATCATCTCAATCAATAAAATTTGATTTATATCATTATAGATGTTGAAATGATGCAAAGAGCATGTAAGACTCACTTAGCCAGTCAAACATACCCAGGCTGAACTGAGATTTGAGACAGGGTGAATTATTGCCACAGTATATTCTTTTAATGACTACACGACATTGCCCTGGAGTCAAATACCCAAAGACCGTGAAGGCAGACTGACCAAGGAGATTTGATATGTGTAGCTTTCCTGTTTTGGAGGCTGCCTGCTAGGATAGGTCAACACTGCACCAAACTCAAGAATCCCAGATTCCAAGTCCCTACTGTAACGTTCACAGCTCGTCTCATTTTGATCAGGTGACTGATCTTTTAGAACATGCTTTCAACGTCTGCAGAATAGTAATAGACGCTTCCCTTTGAGCCCTAGCTCTCTTGGACTGAGGTTACTGCAGGGTTATAACGGTGCAGGAGAGGCAGCCGTACTAAGGATGCACGCAGTGGCCAGGTCAGGGTGGTGCTGGCAGCATCCGCCCGGGTCAGCATCGGACAGCTCCCTCCCAGTTCAGCTGACGTCCGCAAGGCAGGAGCTCCCACGTGGGGACCGTCTCAGACTCCTCCATCTCACCTCCTACGATGATTCCTGTTTCTGTCGTGGCCTATCAATAGTTCGGCTCCTGTTGGAATGATCTTCAGGTCTATAAGTGATACTACTGTTATAATGACAGCAAATCTATTTTAATAAAAGGGATTTCCAGCACTATGCATTATCAACACGGGAGTTTTAATAAATGACCACCAAAATGCTCCAAAGAATTAATGATATAGTTAAAAGGTGATTATAAATGAAACATTGGTGATAGGGGACCTAGTTCATAAATACATGGAATGTTTAATATTTGTCATAGATTCTGTTTGGTTTTGTTTGTTTTTGTTTTGGGGGGAATAGATAATTAGATTTATTTACTTATTTTTTAATGGCGGTACTGGGGATTGAACCTGGGACCTTGTGCATGCTGGGCATGTGCACTACCACTGAGCTGTACCCTCCCCCCCTTCCTTAAGAACATAGAATTAAAGGTAAACTTGCCCAGTATTTTGTGACCAAAGCTAAAATCTTGAACATAATATGACTTGTTAATAAACTCGGTACTTAAATTTGCATTATGACTTCTCCGTGAGCTTGTGTTGACTCCAGAGCATCCTTTGTGGGATCCCAAAGCAGCACAGGGCTTTGGGAATCATCTTTTCGGTCCTGTCATTTATACCTCATAAAATAGGCTCGAGGAGATTGAGTCATTCCTCATATTACCCATCTTAAAAAAATCTAGGCTAGGTCTTTTGCAAGAGATGATAAAATAATGAATACATTTATGATGAATATGGATATTTATGATAGAAACCAAGCCACAGATGAAGTACCACTGATAATGTGTATCATTCATTATTCACGCCAAACCTTTGTTAAATTTTTATTACCAATGGTGTAAGGCTCTGAGAATACAAAACAGTCCTGATCCTCAGTTAATTTACAGGGTAATACATCTTTGGTAGCTAAAATTAAAGTCCATTTTATCCTAGGACCTGTGAGGAAGTCTCAAAATTTCAATTTAACCCTCTCCCAAATCCTGAAAGACTGTTGCAATTCTCATTTTTGCAGAGGGAAACACTGGCTTGGAGATGCTGCATTCAGTGGCTCAGAGTTAACAGCGTTAGGTGAACCCCAGAGCTGGGGGCCAGCCCCCTCCAGCCTGGTTCCCAGGCCCCTGCTTTTCCCCGTGAACCCACAGTGGTTCGATTACAGTCACACGCAGTCCACTCTCAGCCACCTCTGACAGCCCGCCAGCTTTATTTTCTGAAGGCTCAACCCAGTGATTACATAGGGAAGGAAGCACATTCGCGGGTTATAAAGAGGAACTGTTAAAAAAAAAAAAAGAAAGATCACTCAGCTGTGAAATGGGAGTTGGGTCTTGTTTGCTTGGTTTATTCCTGCTCAGTTGCGTGTGCACCGATGTTCGTGACGCTGTCTTAAGTGTCTTCATTGGGCCACAATAACATGGATTTTTCTTTTCTCTCTCTCTCTCTTTCAGGTACGGAAAAATTGTATCCACAAAGGCAATTCTTGACAAAAACACAAATCAATGCAAAGGTACGTGTCAGGGCATCTGCACCTGAGCGCTTGCCTGCGCTGGTGCCGTGACGGCTCCTCCCAGGCCAGGCCTGGGTACCGGCTGCACAGGATCTCGATGCACAGTAGCTGGCAGACCTTTTTAATGATGTCGGGGCTTTGATGGGTTGTATTTCTAGTAACGTTGCTCGTTAATTTTTTTCATTAACAAACAAAACGAAAAATCGCAAATCAGAACGAGTATCCAGTTGCTTCAGCATAAAACTAAATTACCTCCTGACAACTTTGGGTTGTCTGATTTGAATGATATCAGTGATGCAAATTGATTTCCTATAGAAAAATGAAGAACTCTGGGGAGAACTTCCCCATGCAAAACACGTTTTAATTTATCTGTTGTTTAAAGCTTTTGCTACATCGGTTGATAAGGAATGAATTTACTGATGGGTCCATGGTGTCTAAGCTTCAGCTGTCAGCATCTCACGGGATCTCAGAATTCGTATCTTATTAAGGCTTCTTTTTGTTTTTTTCCTGGAAATATTTCCGAAATTATCTGACTGTATCCGTGACTCATGTTTTTTTCATGTCTGGGAATCACGCATTCTTTGAAGGATTGCATTAATTTATTTGTGAAATCTATATGGTCTCTCTTACATGACTCAGTTCTTCCTGGAGAATTTGGAATACTTCTTGTAACGTGTTATTTGTTGATCCTCTAATCCAGTCTTTTTTATAACACCAACATCAAGAAATGGTACAGCCGAGATCATTCTAAACATTGTTTCTATTTCATATTCAAACATAACATGCACAAGGGTTAGAACTCCTGTACAATATGGGCAGGCATATCCTAGCTTAATTGGATCATGGTAGTCAGATTCAATTCAGCAATTAAAAAAGAAACAGCATTCTTTTTCTCCTATAAACTCACAAATGCTCTAGGTATTTAGTTACTATAAGACAAAAAATAATAAGACATCATTTCTGTCGTCTAATAGTTTGATGTCTAGTTGAAGAGGAAACCACTAAGAAAACCAAGAAACGAATCCTGATGTGTGTATCAGGATCAGTGCATCAGCCTAACACCTGTGGGAGTGTAGCAGGGTTATCTGTATTAGAGGTTATGCACTATGAGAGAACATGGAGACTCCTTTTAGGGGAGAGAGTTTGTAAAGGCAAGGCAGGATGGATGGGTTTGGGGAAAGGTTGGTGTTCAGGAGAAGGAAATTCAGCATGTAATTGAGCAGACTCACACACCTGGAATAGGAAAATGATAAGGGATATCAGTAGAAAAAAAGGAAGGAGGGATCAAGATTTTGGAGGCTTTGAAAAAGTTATCCTGGATATTTTGAACTTGATTCTGTCCATAACCTTTAGAAGTTTTTTGAGCAGAAATGATGGACGTGATTCTCTCTGTGTTTTAGAAAACTTATTGAATGAAACTGAGTTGCAGAAGGGAAACCCGGAGGTAGAAAAAAAAATGCAAAAAGTTACACATTGTCACATGTCTTTGTTTTGAACTCTTTCAGCATTGGATCTGTTTTCTTTTCTCTCTCCCCCAGATAATTCTCAACCTTTGAATCCTGCTTCAGAGTCTTTATGCTAAACTCATGCCTTCTCTTCTGTGCACCTGTGCCATTTTATTTATACAGTATTAATATGATTATTTTTCACTTATAAAACAAAACAACAACAACAATATGCAGATTTGAAGTCCATAGATCTCAAGGAAGACAAAGAAAGTCCCCCAGGCACTGCTGGGGAAAGGGGGTCACCATGAGAGTTTTCAAGGGTGGAATTAAATATTCTCCATCAAATTTAAAGGATGCTTGCAGTGAAGCCCACCTGTTGAGCTGTCATGACTGAGGAAGAGGCTTGTGCCCTTTACCGAGGGAAGGAGCCCAGCGGCAGTGGTGGGTCTGGGGAAGCGGTGGCGATTTAGGGACTGGACATGCTGAGACAGGGGTCCTGGCAGAGCATCCTAGGGGAGAGGTCAAGGAGGAGCTACAAGAAAGCTCTGAGTTACGATGGTGTCCGCAGACAAGGCAGCAGATCGTAACACCCAAGGATAATTTGTAGAGGGTGTGGAGTGAGGCCCGTGAGGTTAGGCAGCAGAAAACTGAATCTTAGAGAACGTATACAAACAAAGCCGGGCCATGACTATGGGCTACTGTTCACTCTTGGCTGCGGGAAGCATATGGCATGTTAAAAGCATTAGAAGGCTAGTTTCCCACCCATTTCCAAAGTCTTGTGGGTAAAACTGTGTATAGGAACAACCAGAGAAGATGTTGGCACTCCACTCAGGCCATCAGTCATACTGATGGAACACCCATCAGAAATGCGAATGCTTCACAGACAAGCGAGCCCCGTGGACCCCAGGGGACCCCACCACCTGTCTCATTGCTGGGGTGGCCCGTGTGAAGGGGCCCTCCACCAGGCAAAGTTGAGAATGCAGGTATCTCTTGTCACTGTGAAATACTGGTGACAACCAACGTGTCACCTGGAAAAACTGTTCCCTTTCACCACGAGCGTAAGGTTGGAGAAGGAAGGGATGGTCAGAGTGTCCGTAAGCAATTACCTCTTGATAGTCTGGGGGACATGATCTGGACAAATAATGTGGGTGTCCTTACGTCTACTTTTTTTTTCTTTTATTGAAGTATAGTCAGTATACAGTATTGTGTTAATTTCTAGTGAACAGCAAAGTGATTCAGTTATATATATATATATTCAATATAGTTCCCTGTGCTCTACAATAGGACCTTGTTGTTTATCTGTTTCATATACAGTAGTTAGTATCTGCAAATCCCAAACTCCCAATTTATCCCTTCCCACCCCCTTCCCCCGCCCCACTAACCATATTTGTTTTCTATGTCTGTGAGCCTGTTTCTGTTTTGTAAATAAGTTCATTTGTGCTGTTTATTGGATTCCACATGTAAGTGATACCATATGGTATTTTTCTTTCTCTCTGGTTTATTTCACTTAGTATGATTATCTCCAGGTCCATCCATGTTTCTGAAAATGGCATGATTTTATTCTTTTTTATGGCTGAGTAGTATTCCATTGCATAAATTTACCACAACTTCTTTATCCAGTCATCTGTCGATGGACATTGAGGCTGTTTCCATGTCTTGGCTATTGTAGATGGTGATGCTCTGAACATTGGGGTGCAGGTGTCTTTTTGAGTTAGAGTTTCCTCCAGATATATGCCCAGTAGTAGGATTGCTGGATCATAGGGTGAGTCTGTTTTCAGTTTTTTAATGAATCTCTGTACTGTTTTCCACAGTGGCTGCACCAAACTGCATTCCCACCAGCAGTGTAGGAGGGTTCCCTTTTCTCCACAGCCTCTCCAACATTTATCGTCTGTGGACTTTTGAACAATGGCCATTCTGATTGGTGTAGTATGATACTTCATTGTAGTTTTGATTTGCATTTCTCTGATAATTAGCGATACTGAGCATTTTTTTTCATGTGTCTGTTGGCCATTTGTATGTCTTCCTTGGAGTATTGCTTGTTTAGGTCTTCTGCCCGTTTTTGGACTGGGTTGTTTGCTTAGTGTTATTGAGCTGTTTGAGCTATTTGTATATTCTGGAAATTAAGCCTTTCTTACCTCTTCTCCTAACACTCCTATCCACATTTTCTTGTAACTGCTTATTTAATTATCTGTCTCCAAAGAGACCTTTAAACTAATGAAGTCAGGACCTGTGTAATCTAGGAAGCTTATCTTGAGAGCAGGAAGTTACAGGGGAATGCATGCCTGTCTATTGGGAATACTTGATGAAAATATTAGAACATATCTCTGTTTTATATCAATTCAACATGTGTTTAATAATGTATATATTGCTATAATTTTACAAATGCTCATGTTTTAAACAAATAAATATGTAGCTATGTGGTTGGCTGCTCCAAAATATTTTTATTTGTAGTAATACGGTTGTAAAAAGCAGTTCGAAGACTACTGGTCTCAGATATAATAAGCACTGATAAATTAGGAAGGAGAAAGTGGAGGGAGAGACAGAGGATAAGACAGGGAGAGAGAAATGAAGGGAGGAGGGAGAGAGGGACTGTGGGACCACCTGGGGAGATCACTGAACAGAAAGGCAGTCAAGGATGACTTTACGGGAGGACAGAGGGCTGTGAGATCTTTTGCCTTGAGGGTGCTGTGAAATAGGCAGGGCAAGCACGTGGTCATTTTGCACCAATCAAAGCCTCCAGGTGCCTTTTCTGGCCACAGGATTTGGAGCCAGTGGATGGCAGTAATAACCGAATCACAGCTTTCATCCAGCACGTGGTGGGAGCATCCTAAAAGTAAGCACCTGTGATCAGAGAGGTAGTGCCGTCACTCCCAGGTTTGGGGGAGATACTGTTTTAATGATATTCTGAGTCCTATTTGGAGTATATATAAATTTTTTTTCAGAAAAAAATGGCCCCTGAAATGGTTGCAGGTTGAAACTACGTATGGTTTGGAAGAGAGAGCAATCACACTTATGGGAAGTTGCTTATGGTTGTTGACAGAACTCGGGAGCAAGTTGGGAGTTTGTGAGGAAGATCAGTGAGGGCCTCAGGGAGCTGATGAGATAAGGCACTGGACCAGTGTTTAAAGATTTCTTTCAATAGCCAAGAATTGGAGCAGGAGTCGTATTAGAAACATTGACTGGTCCAGAAGGTATTTGTGGAGAAGTAAGAGTGATCACCAGGAGTCTGTAGACCATGGCCAAGAAATGAAGGGGCACTGGTTATCAAACTTCATGATGTGACATTCAAATTGGAGCTTTTGGGTAACAGGGAAATCATATGTGGTTAGGAGCAGGGAGAACTCTCCACTTAGACGTCCAGTGGAAGAAGGGACGGTAGAGGGAAAAAACAAACAAACATTTGAGAGGGTACAAAGTGATAGTGTCCTCAGGATGAGTTCGTGAATGATTGGAAGCCTGCAACTTAAAGCAGTGTGCAGTGATGGTTTAAATCCACGCAGGTACCAAATGTTACAACCCGCAGGCCATCCCGTGCAGGTTGCTGTGAAATGT